ATTTCAAAGTGGCTTCTGAAGTCGATGTCTATGATCAGACGTTCTGAAATTCCAGCTTCGCTGAGGCTGATCACATCAATATATTCATAATCACCTGCAATTGGCACATGAATTCCACATTTCTCAGCAAACAATTGAGGAAGGCAACATCTCATGAAGTCTCAATTGCAGAAGCAGAATAACATCCTGTGACCTTCTCGTCTGGAACTCTGGATACTAGTTCAGGAACCAATGGCCTAGATTAGCATTCAGTTTTACAGGAGTTTGGGCACTTGAATCAATATTAACTGCATGATAACTCAGACCTTCTGAGCAACACAATTCTATCCAATCCCAATTCAAATAAGCATACTAAGAGCAGTAATTGAGACATATTATGAGCAGTAATCAACAATTCAAAGACGATAACACAACACAAGAACATGGTACATATAGAAAATTAGTAGCGTACCTCCTGGGACCTTGGCAGCACCCTGCCACTTAGATGAACAGACAGCAGCATCATATCCAGAAAACCTCAGGAGCTTCACCAAGGAAAATCTGATGCAGCTGGCATTGCAAGAACCTGACTCCACGAGATGAAGGTCTGTCTCCTTGATGGAGACGATGAGAGAATGCACCAGCGACAGCAATTCGCTCTCGTAGCGGGTCACCGAGTGCTTATAGAACTGCAAAACATGGGAGGAAATATAAATGGTAAATTCTCATGCATCAGGGTTGATTCTGTAACATAACATTAGAACCTAAGGAAGCTAAAACACAGATACCAACACGCAATGGACAGATTGATGACATTTCCCAAACAACAAAAACCAGAAAGGTTAAAACTTTATGAACCAAAATTTTCATCCCCATGTTCCCAAGTGAGGCAATTTTAAAGTATATCCAATGCCATATAATTAGGAACACCAACAGTATGAATTCAAAAGCTTGCAAGGCATCCACGTTACCGCAAGAACTCCAATTTCACAAGGCAATCCCACATTGACTTCTGGTTTGCATTTTGCCATGATTAAAAGGAAACAAAGAAGAAGAGGTAATAAAAAAAAACAGGAATTTTGAACCAGAATAAACTTGATTAGGGGGTTTGAGCATAAGTCCCCAAAATCCTTACCATATATGTAATTATTGTCATATAAAGGAAGAAATTAAAGAATCAAAATTAATGAACAGCACAATTGGCCCTCATTCAATTTCTCAATTCAAAGCCAAAGCTGAAGGGGGGGGGGGGGGGGGGGGGGGGGAAACAGAACTGCAAAATCGATATTATGAGAGAATTGGAAAGTCTCCTTCTCACCGTGATTTTATGGGCAAGGGAATGGAGATCGGAGAGACCCGACTCGCTGTCGCTACTGCACCAGGACTCAGCGCCGCCGCTGCTGCCGCCGTTCTCGAGGAAATCGCTGACCATGAGAGCCAAATCATGCTCGCTCTCGTGGCTAAACCCTCCCCCGATCTGCCCAACTATCCCTCTCCCCCACCACTCCCCCGTCGCCGCCGCCGCACACATCTTCTCTTCCGCCGAATTCTACCCCTCTCTTCTTCCTCCTCCAATGAAACGACGCCGCAAACCCTCACGCCGTCGTTTCGAGGATCTCCGCCGGCGGGAGCCAAACCCCAACCCAACCCCTAAAAGAACCTCCGAACAATCAACAATTGAATTCAATTTTCCTCTTTTCTTTTTATATTATTACGGCAGGGAAATGAATTGAATGTTAGCTCATCATAATTTCCCTCCAAACTATACGTATGGAGAAATCCGACTTCGAGGCTTTCTCCGATAACATTCAAACCTGGAATCAGGAACGGGGCAAAAGAAAAAACTAATTGTTTCCTCTCCCGGTCAGGCTATCTCTTGTACAGAAATTGCTAATGCGGAAATAAATCAACAGGGCGCCGCCGCGGGCGCGGTGGACGATTGACGGAGGAGGGAAGAAGGCAAATGATGTGATAATTTTTCAAATATTCAGCGAAGAAGCAAGGAAGGAGAAGAGAGGTTTTTATTAAGAAAAAGAAAAACCCCCTAAAAGATTGAGAAATTAGGAGGAGGAGAGGAGGCCGGGTTCATATAAACGTCGGAGGTGGGAGCTGGAGATGAAATGACGGATATGGCCTTCGGTTTTCGTTTGTTTCTTTCTGTTGCTTCGTGGGCAAGTAAGGCATAGTAAAAAGGTAAAAACAGAGAGAAAACTGGATAAGATGAAAGAGACAGGGATTTGGGGAGCGGCAATGGATGTAGACGGGAATGAGGTTTTGATTCGATAGTGTTTCGTTAATTTCGTTCTTTGTAAAGGTTATTTATTGTTACTTTGTGGACAAGGGAAATTAAGAGCATAAAACAGCTCAGGAAAGCAAATTGTTTTCTTTTGATGAAGTAATGAGAGAATTCAGTCTATAGATTTATTGAATTTGTAAATAGAATATTATGTTTTTTTCTTAATGATGTTTTTTTATCGTGAATTTTAGTTTAAGATATTTTTAAATTTCTAAAATTTAAAGATATTAAATCTTTGATTATCATAGAGATTCTGTATATGGATTTCTGAGATTTTTGTTCCTCCCACTTTATATCTGTTTATGCCTGGAATGTACCGGGCGGTTTGCGAGGCTTCACAGTCTTCGTGCGGTCTTGGGAGGTGAGAAGCGACCTTCGAATTCCTGCAACAAAGGTCCTCAGGGGAGCCCTGGGACCTCCTCCGATGCCTAAGTTAGTGAGAGAAGTGGATATAGTGAATAAGAGAGAGAATGGAGTAGATCGAAGTTACCACAAATGTGTCCCATGAGTGGGTATTTATACTAGAGGATGTCGGAGTGAGGATAATTAATGCCTTGTCGGGCGTCCAAGGTCGCGTAAGGACCCGTTCTCAGGAGGCTGTCAGGATCGTACCTTTGTCAGCCTCCGTACTGAGGTGTCAGAGAGACGTTAGGCCCAGTGTCGGGCGGTTTCTCAGAGTTCCGTTGGGGACGTGTCAGGCGGTTCTTTCGGGAAGACCGCCTTCGATCCTTTTATTAGTGTGCCCTGGGCCTATTGGGGCCGGGCTCGATTGTTTCGCTGGGCTTTTGTAGGTCATGGGCCTGTCGGCCCAAGAGACTCCATGGTTGGCCCAACATTTGCCCCTTAGTCGTGATGATCGTTAGGTTTTCGCGGCTAACTGTTTTTTGTCGCCGTGGAGCGGTCTTGGGTCGCTCGGCCTATGATTATCTGCTTGCCCCTGGCCGCGGAGGCGTGGCGTTCGAACGCCTAAGGGGCGGCTTTACCGACTTGTTTGTATGATGGGCGGTCTATAACCGCACTCGGTTGTCCCACGTGGTGGCATCGATTTTCGCGCTCTGACAAGGTCAGACTTTTGCCCCTTGAGAGTTTGCTTTAAATGGAGAGAGGCGCACTGTTTTCGCCATTGTGTTTCTTCATTTGGGGAAAACTCTCCGTCGTCTTCCTCCTTGGGTCGTCTGCAACTTTCTGCGGAGCTCTGAGCTTCGCCGTCGTCGCCCCTCTTTAAAAGGCCGAGTGTTTGTACTTTCGAGGTGAGTTTCGGAGCTTCTTTCTCCTTTGTTTCTCGCGTCTTTGTTTGCCTTTGACTTGTGTGCTTTTCTTTTGGGTTTATTCCGGCTCGGGACGTCGGCCTTTCCCTCTTCCTCGTCGGCGCTAGATGTCGAGCGGAGGCCTAGCTTCGTCGGTCGGGGTAGGCGCGCCTCTAGCTGCCGCCACGGAGGTTGTGTCCGATGCGCCCACTGCCCCCGAGGTCTGCATGGGGAAGCCGCCGTCGATCTTCATTGCTCCGCCGCTTTCCCCTGCCACCGGGAAGAAGTCAGTGGGCACCTCTGGCGGTTCCGCGACCGCTGCGCAAGGTATGGCTCGTTCTGCCCCTGCCCAACACGCCTCTGATTGCGTGTGGGATTTGTCTGGACTTGAATTGTACTTTGGGGGTGGTTCTGAATTGGACGATTGTCTGATCGAGGACGCTTTAAGTTTAGATTTTTCTTTTGCTAACATCCGACCTGTACCAGTTGGGGTTGTGGCCACTTCGTCCGCGGTTGGGGACAATCTGGGTGAGTTTGGGGGTTTAGACTTAGATAGTGATACGCTGAATGTGGATGATGCGGTTGGTAGTAGTGAAGAGCGTTCGGAGGCGCTGGCGAGTACCTCGTCGTCTGTGGAAGCAGTTGACTCTGAGGACGAGGGATCGCCTTTGGTGGCCATTGCGGATTCTACGTATACCGTTCTTCATCACGAGGGAATGTGGGACGGGGCCGCGGTTCCCACCGGCGTGTTTTCTCATGGACCTCCGCACGAGGCGACCTTGAGGCCGGGTCAGGTGCTTCACCGTTTGAACGCATTGAGTTTACCTACGGATTGGCAGTATGCGGCTCCTACGGAGACAAGTAGATCTGGGTCATGCCCCGAGGGTTGGATCCCTATTCACGTGGAGCACGTTAAGTTGGGATTGCGGTTCCCCTTAGACCCTATTCTTACTAAGACTTTGCACCTCCTTCAGTGTACTCTTGGGCGCTTGTCCCCTTCTGTTATTTTTCAGTCGGTCATGTATCGGTATGCGTGTAAACGCCTTGGGGAGACCCCTTCCTTTGATGCATTCCGACTGATTTATAACATTAGGGATTCGACCAACTGTTGGTCTATCGGTCGGCGTAAGGACGCCGTGGGGTTTGTGACGGGGTCGCCGAAGCTTGATTCTCCATGGTACAAGGAGTTTTTCTTCGCACGTCCCTCATGGAAGTGGTACCATGGCGATACTGCGCCTTTGACGGGGTACGTGGTGGGATCGAAGGACGACTGGTGTGTTTCGACCCAGTTTCCACAGTCAGTGAGAGATCACGTAGACCGCCTTGTAGAAGGGTTTCAGCTGCGAGTCTTTCCTAGCGGTCCCGAGAGTGCATACCAGCACGTTCGCAAATTCTATGGTTAGTGCTGCGTTTTTCTGCTTGAATATGTCCCTCTTCTCATGTATGTTTACTTATGCTTTCTTTTGTCAGGTTTGAGAGCTCTGGCGGATGCGGTTCGTCCGAAGAGGCGAAGGGTAGTGGTGAAGACCGGAGTCGGCCGAGGTGGAAGCTCGTCCGTGGCGGTCGGAGATATTGGCGTCTCTGTTGCTCAACCGCCGCCGGTGCAGCCTATGGCGGCTCCAGCTGATGTGGCCGGGAGGAGAGGCTCCAAGAGGGTGGCTGAGAAGACCGCTCTCGGTCAAGCTAGCCAAAGAGCGAAGGCAAGTTCTCCGCCTCGGAAGGCGGCTGGTCGGGGAAAGGGCGTGAAGCGCGGGGAGGAACAGAGTTCTATAGAGGTGTCGACTCAGGCGGCCACGGATGGGGAGGCGGCTGAGTTTGCTTTGCACACTATTAGTGATCATCTCGTTATGCCTTCCGAGTACACCCCTTCAGCTTTGGACAGTCACAGGAGACTTGCAGAGACCGCTTCGCGGTTCTTCTTTTCGGTAAGTGGTAATTCGTTGTGGATGTTTCGTCACGCAATCTGTTGTTTGCTGGCTAATCATGTGTATGCCGTTGACAGGCTCAGATTGGGTTCTCGCAGGTCATTCTGTTGAATGACCGCCTGTCCCGGACTGTGGAGGACAATGCCGTTGAGATAGCGAAACTGAAGAAAAGCGCCGATGAAGGGCGGGAGACTATGATGGGTAAGTTGAGACCGCAGGTAAAGCGTGAGTTTGAGGAGCGACTGGCCAAGAAGGAGGAGGAGTTGCTGGCCGAGAAGGGGGCGGTCAAGGCTGTCGGTGAAGAGAGGGACCGCTTCCGCGAGAAGGCCCTAAAGTCTGCGGAGCTGGAGAAGACCCTGCTGGAAGAACAGGAGGCGCTGCGGACAGAGCTGGCCGCCTTGAAGATTGAGAAGGCGACTTGGGAAGATAACCGCGAGGCGGAGCTGGCCGCCGCCCGGGCTGAGGCGGGACCCGCCTACTTGAAGTCAGATGAGTTCGTGTTGCTTGACAACGAGAAGTACAAGTCCATGGTGGGCAATGCGGTGGCTGCCATCAGGCACTGGTTCCGTCGTGAGCAGCCTGACGCGGTTTGGAACACGGATCAGATTTGGGACGCCGTTGGTGCGTGGACCGATTCCGATGTCAACTCGGAAAAAGACGAAGGAGAAGAAGATGAAGAGACCGCCCCTGAGGGTGGCGCATCTCCTCAAGTTTAAGATGCCTTGTGTATGTTTCTCAGTTTGCTTTGTGACATTTGCTACTCGAGGACCGCTGGATGTCCTCTATTTTGTGCACGTTTTGCCCCTTAATCGTGGTGATGGGGGTTGTATGCTACTTCGAATTTGGCATTGGCGTGCCTTGTGAACTTGTAACGTTCTCTTTTGCACATTTGAAGCGTTGAACCGCCACCGTTTGGTGCCGCGGGTTATCTCCGACTTTTGGATGTTTCGCTCGCATACTTAGCGACTTCAGTGTTTAGTAGCCTATCTTTTCGCGAGCGTGATTGTGCTAGTGTTAATGGGGAGAATTTTGCATAGGGCGGGTCGGACCGCTGGGATTCTTGGACGCCTCTGAGGGTGGTTGGTCGTTGGAGTGACCTTTTTGAGCGTGTTGGAAACGAACGCCTCGTTAGTAACGTTGTGCCGAAAACATGAAACATGTGAATGAAGGCAAACTGTTTGGGCTTAAACGTTCTTGCGAACTTGTTGTATGAGAGGGAAGCGTGCTGGGACTATATCATGGCCAGCTGCATGTGATAAGCTGTTGGGCCGCGAGATGGGCACGAGCTTGTGTGCATGTTAAGCGTGAGTTGTTGGCTGATTATTAGGCGTTAGCTGTGTTCTAGGGAGGGCGAATGGAGTTTCACCCGTAGCGGTTTTATACACCGCATGCTGCGTCCATCGGATGTGCGAGAGTTCGCTTGTGCTTGCCCCTTGGGCGTCTCTTAGGCGTTTTTTCAGCCTTTGGAGGGTTAGCTTGTTTGAAGCTCCATCTGGACCGTTCGTCTGCAGGTATGCCGCGGAGACTGCCATTCCTGCGATGCGGTTTCTTGGCGCGGAAATTTTCGAACGATCGACAGTTGAATTGGGTGATGGAGAGTGTCATTTCCTTGAACGGTCGTTTGGCACATTTCGCGTTATTCTTTTAAACCTTTCGAAAGGTGTTTCTCCTTTGAGCCTGTCGTGAGGCGTGAGACCCTGGCGGAAGACATTTTTCCTTTAGGCCTGTCAGAATGCGTTTCTCTTCAAGCCTACCCGGAGGCGTGTGGGCTTGTCGGCACTAGAAGGTGGAACCTTCCCGTGGCGGGAGTGTCGCTCGTCGACTTTGACATTTTCGTGAAGAGAGTGCTCGATGGGAGCGTCTTCGAGAGGCGAGATATCCTCATAGTCTTTTGGATTCTAAGAAGCGCGTGAGTCATCAGCTTCTTGGGCGGATATGAGGTACTTCAGACTGTGTCTGAGTAGTACTTTCTCAGGCGCTTGTCATTCCGTGTTTGTGGGGACTGGGACGCCCTCCATGGTTGCATTACGCTTGTCGCGGTTTTACCTTTCATGTTTGAGCACGGAGGGAGGGTAAGTTTACTTCGTCTAGGGCGACCGTTTTGGTGCCGTATGTCAGAGCGAAGGGGGTATCTCCCGTGGCCGTCTTGTAGGTCGTGTGATGCGACCATAGGATGTGTAGGAGCTCAGTCATCCTTGCCCCTTAAGCGCCTCGGAGACGCTCGTTTGAGGGTACATCACTGATGCTTTGGTGTCCATGGCGTGGTTTGGCGCGCGAGGATTATTCTGCTATCCTTTCAAGCTTCTCGGGAGGTGCCTCCTCTTTGAGCTTGTTGGGAGGTATGTGAGCCTGTTGGAAGGCGTTTTCTTTAGGTCCTGTCGGGAGGCGTTTCTCCTCCAGCCTATTAGGGGGTGTGTGAGCCTATCGACAGGTGTTTTGATGATGGCGATATGCTTGTGAAAAGCGAGATTGGGCTTTTCGCCTTAGTGGAAGATGCATTCCCGTGAGATGAGCATCTCATGGAGGCGAAATATACTCGACGAGAGTGTCGTTGTGAGGTGGCACATTCCCCGAAGGGCGCGTCGCTGGGAGGCGATTTTCGGGCCTTGCCCGGAGGTGGAAGGCACGAATCGTGCCTAGAGGGAGGGTCGCTCATCGGCGAAATCATCGCTCAAAGGGAGTATCGCTCGGGGGCGGTTTTTGGGCCTTGCCCCGAAGGCGGAAGGCGTGAATCGTTCCCGGAGGGAGCATCTCTCAAAGGGAGTATCGCTCGGGGGCGGTTTTTGGGCCTTGCCCCGAAGGCGGAAGGCGTGAATCGTTCCCGAAGGGAGCATCACTCATAGGCAGAAACCATTCGCCGAAAGGAGCATGGCTCGGAGGCGAATTTTGGACCGTGCCCGGGGGCTTGAAGCATGGCACTTGAGATATATTTTTGTACAAAATATTTACCTTTGTGATTTGCCGTAGGAAAGGTAAGAGTCAAATTCCGAGTGCTACAAATCATTTGTACAAGACCTCACTGTAGCATACTGGTGAGCACCGTTCATCTTATCGAGTTAGGACTCGCATCCAAATCCTGGCATAGGCACTTCGTTTTTTGTATAGAAGGCTTGTTGCTGGGCAGGAGGATGGAGGGGGTTTACGTTGTCGACTTGGAGAGGGATATGTTGTGCCCGCACAATGGGCCTCTACGTGGGTGCCGTTGGCCGGGCGGGTCGTGATTGTCTGTGAGACCACGTTCGCAGAAGAGGTTGCGATTCTTGACATAGATATGGGGTTGCACCTGGTATGAGGTGCGCCTAGTGAGACAGGTTTACTGAAGGCAAGTCTTATTTTCAGCCTACCGGGAGGCGCTCCTTTTTTCAGCCGATCGGGAGGCCTGTCTACTTTTAGCCTATCGGGAGGCGTTTCTTCCTGGTCTATCGAGAGACATTCTGTCTTTCAGCCTTCTGGGAGGCGTGTTTTCCCTTAGCCTATCGGGAGGCGTTTATCTCATGACTTTGCGGGAAGCGCTGTGGAGTCTTTGAACAAACAGAGAGCTTAGCCTAGGAGGCATGAAATATGATTAGTATGCGGTTCCACGTTCGAAGTGGCCATGGAAGACGCGGGTGATGACGCAGATGGGTATGATACACGCGACCAGACTTATCTTGTGTCGACGCACCGCCATGTGGGAGACGGGGGTCGGGTGGTGTCTTCGGATGCGTTTGCGCGGGCTTGCGTCCTAAGGCAGGCCGGACGATTTGCACGGTTGGCGGACTCGAGTTGAGGATTTGGAGTGCGGGCCGGACAGGGGTGGGCCCACGTGATGCGGGACTGGACCCTTGGCGCAGATAATGTACAGAGCGTGATGGACCGCATTAGAATCTTGGATGCGGTGCGTTGGTGATGCCAGGTTAGACGCACACATGAGATTTGATGCGAGGCGGCCCAAGTCTTCAGTGATAACGTTGGGTGGGCTCGGAGGTGCCATAGGCCGAATGGATGCTCGGGCGGCCCAGTTGGAGGGCTGGAGGTGTGTACGTGGTTGTAGTCTTCTAGTCGAGGGCGCTTCCTGCAAATGGCTTCAAATGTCGAATGTTGCCAATAGCAGACACAAAGCGGATTTGTAGTGTAACGACATGATCAGACTTTCGTTTCAAGTGGAAACGTTTTCGCGATGATAATATCGCACGGAGGGGGAACGTAGCATGGTGGTGATGATCATCTTGTGCTTGGCTGGATGAGGGTTTGAGGCTTTGCGTCAGCGGTCCTTCTTTATTTTTGCAATGCGACAATTGAGAGCTTCATGGGTCGTGTATGGCGTGTTGCCAAGCTTCGCTCGTTGTAGGCCATGGTTGATTGTGGACCGGGATGCGGCCCATTATATGCTTGGACTACCGACTGGGATTGAGGTTGGAGCTCGACGCGAGGTTGCAGCTTGGACTTGGCAGACGGGTCTTGTGATAGGACTGGATGCGGATTGGGCCCGCACGGAGGTCTTGGCTCAGATGGTCTTGGAAGCTGAACGCTTTGTAGGTGACGGATTTGAGAGGTAGGCCGCCTTGAGACATAATGCGGGCTTAGCAGCTTTGGGAAGGCGCGCGGAATGGAATGGGCTTTGGAGGCAGCCTTTCGCGCAAGTTCGAGGCGTGAAGATGTCACTTCTGCTGGGAGGCGGTATCACGTTAGCTATACTGATGGCGCGTCCACGGGGAGGCGGTTTCAGGCTTCTACGTAGAGTGGAAGCATTGCTCAGGAAGCGGGATTAGTGTGGCGCCTCCCGATGATGGACGCCCCCCGGTGTACTGGACCCTAGAATGGGCTTGGGCCCAAGGTGAGACGCTTTGTGGTGGGCTTGGGCCCGTATTAGGCGGGTTAATACTAGACCCGACATTTTTGCCCCTTTGCTTCTTGTATTCTGTAAGAATGGAAGGAGTAAAATAATGCGTTAAGGTGCATTAACTTGCCTTACTTGCGAGTCCGCACGATGCGGTTTTGCCCCTTGTGCGACCATTGCTTGGTGATGGACGACCACGAGTGGACTGTACCCTTGCGGGTCCAAACGATGCGGTTTGCCCCTTGTGCGACCATCGTCTTTGCTTCTTCGCTTAGCATTCGATGTCCTGTGTGCGTTTTGCGTGGAGGGATAGCACGGGATGTAGATCATGTGATGCGGTTTTACATCTGCGAAGGATGTGAGTGACAAACATAAGCATAGCCTGCGTGAAATATATCATAGCATGGGATGTAGTGAGAAAACATCATTGTGTGCTATTGGGAGCGGTCTGCATGGCATAGTATTTGAATATATCGTAGAAGGAAGTACTCAGCTTGAGAATAAGCGGTAGAAGACAGCTGGGAAGCGGTTTAAGTAAGACGAGTCGCTTTCTGATCCTCAAGGCGGTCTTGTGGCCGACTGGTAATTGCCCCTGCCTTTTGGACTTTCGGACGAAGGGGTCCGCGTGCGAGACGGATCGCGTTGATGAGGGAGGCGACCCATCGACGATGGATAGGATGATCTTGAAAAAATAGCTAAAAGGCGGCTGCCCCTAGGGACATGAGAAGATGTTGTCGCCAGCCAGTTGGCGTTCTTGTATCCTAATTAATGCGGGTTCGAATCTTGGCCAGGAAGTTCCTTATTTTTTATTTCGTTAAGAATGAAGTCTGCTCAACTAAATGAGTAGCGCCTCGGACTCCACTGTGGGCTTCCTTCGCAAGGCGGGCCGTGGATGGATGTGAGCCTGGTAAGGCTGCTTAGAGGGCGGTCACCTCCGGTTTGAGGTGCGTCGACTTTGAATGCAGGGGCGGTCCTTGAGCCCAAGGGTTGTGAGATGTTTGTAAAGCAATGATGATTTACCGCTGCGTTTGTAAAGCAAAAGGTATCCTCGTAGTGTACTGGTTGTGTGAGCTCCTTTGTGGGGAGATGATGTGGGTTTGAAACCCACCTATGATG